ACTTTTTTCAAGCACTCAGCCTTAGCTGAAGAAGATCAAATCCATGAACAGTAGTGAATTATTCTCCTGCTAAGTACACAACCCCACCTGCCAAGCATAGCACACACAACCTTGGGCATTGCTAAATTTATTTATTTATTATTTATTTATTAAAACATTTCTATGCCGCCCCTTGCCAAGGCCTTACAACATCGAATACAAAAAAAATGTGCATGCCTGCAGTATATGGGCACAACATTCCCATGATATGAAACATCTACAAGTTCCATGTGTTACAGCAGAACTGCACTTATGCAGCAGGCAGCATTTGCACAAACCAGGCTCACAATTGGATGCAGCAGTTGGATACACTTCCTGCCAGTTGCTTATGTGAATACTGAGTGCAAGTTGGACTTAAGTCAGTGTGAAAGCAGGCTGGAGTTCGGGGAGCCAAGCTAAGACAATCTGATGGATACCCACCCCAAAACATTTCCTTGCCCCAACCTGGTATCCTCCGGTTGTGTTGGACTACAATTTCCAATATCCCCTGCTCTCTGGAAGGCACCAAGTTGGGGAAGGTATACTATAATATATGTAGGGAACTATACTACCTTTGATAAATATTCAAATAAACGTATTACTGAATCAGACCTTTAGTCTGTCTACACCAATCAGCAGCACCTCTCCAGAGTTTCAGACAGGTTTTTCCCATCAGTCTTACATGGAGTGCCAAGAATCAAACCTAGGACTTTTTGGATATAAACCTCTGTTTTGCCACTAAGTACACCATTGCCCACTTTGTGAAAATCACAGCATCAGTCATTGTAGATATCACAGAGAGCAAAACCAATAGAGTAGATGCTGATAGAAGCTTCACATTTCCCATATTTGTACTGCATTATGCAAAACATATGAAAACAAAACATGTAACATCTTTCATCAGGCTTTGCAACCTTGTTGGAGGAAGTAACCTTGTAAAGTGTGAGCCATTACTTCTCTCTTGCACATGTACACAAGATGCCTGGCTGTGGCTTGCCATTTTCTTTAAGCAAAGAACTGGTGTTGTGCAGAAATAAATAGTGAGTTCAAGTTGTCCAGCATTATTTGAAGAGCAAACACATCCTGCTAAGTTAACCCAACTGGGGATAGTGTGCACCTGCAGCTCCATTTCATCTACAAGTGAAGTACAAATAGGTATATTTATGATTCATTTTTCAAATATGCAGATATGTATAGGACTAAACAGACCTGGCTCAATGCCAGACTAGTTTTCATACTGCAAAATACCCTTGAGAAGGTTTGTTGAATGTGGTAATTGTGAGTTAACTTAAGCATGCCTATTAAACCATATGTTTGCTTGCTTGGATGCTGTATTCAGATAAAATCGAATCCTAGATTAGGATCATTTGATTGTGTGTATGTGTGCTGTCATCATTATGTTCTTTTAAATCTTCCAAAGACAGGTTTCCTAAGAAAAGAATAATTTTAAGTAAATTATGTGAAGTGATTGTACAAGTAGTGACTGGAAGTCACTCTTTTCTGCATTCATTTTCTTTCTGTCTTTTTTTCTGAAACAAGAACTTCACAAGCAGTAGCTAGATTATAAAGCTGTTCAATTCTAGTGCTAATGCTTAGCAGGTGAAAATAAGTGGTGGTGGAGGCCCGAGAGCTCTGTGACTTTCTCCAAGTAAGCTTTCTCTGCCATGGCTTTCTCTGAGTAAGCTGCTCCGCCTCAGCCTGTCTGCCCCGGGCTCAGCGAGGTGGTGGCGGTGGCTTACTCCCTCAGAGAATGCCGCACGGCCTGGCCACCCCTGGGCTTGCATAATTAAAAATAGATTTTAAAAGTTATATTTTTCTTACCTTCAATCCTTTTTTAGTTTCTTTGTCTGTCTTTCTCTTCGCCCACCTCTCTTCTGTTTCCTGCTCCGTATTCCCACTCTGTATATGTGTGCAATGGGGGTGGGGGGTGGGGAGCCAGTTCATGCACAGTTGATCTGTTGCAATTTGGCGCATGCGCCGACTCTTTGCTCAGTTTCTGAGAACACCTGCACTGGCTCAGAGCTTTTGTACTCGCTCGGAGATTGTTTTTTCCGAGCGAGTACAAAATCTCCGAGGCAGGCTGGATAAATAAGCATGGCGGGCCATAGTTTGAGAACCCATGGCATAGATAGAAAATGTGATTAGAGATATAAAGAGGATTATGGATTATAATTCTTTCACATTAGAAGTACATATACATATGTTAAGTACGTAACCTGTGAAGGACTACAGGCCCTATTACAGATCATCCTCTGTTCTAGATTATCTCAGATTTCAGTCTTGCAAATGGATTCGTAGCAAAGTGAAAAGCACTATAAAGATTTCCTTTAGATATAATTGGGTGGTCTTTTGGGGGCTCATCACAGTACTTCTAAGCTATGTGAATTTTTCATGGCAAGATGCAGATTCTTTCGGATGAACAAATGGCATATTACAGTGGTACCTTGGCCCACGAACATAATCCGTTCCAGGACGCTGGTCATGACCCAAACTGGTCGTGAGCCAAGTTAAATTTCCCCATAAGGTTCAATGTAAATAAGGTTAACCCATTCTGTAACCATTTTTTAAAATCAGAAAAACGTGAGGCAAAGTGACAACAACAAAGATCGCGGCTATCTCCCCCACCACCCCGAGCACAAGCGCGGCCATCTCCCCGCCACTCACCAGCACGATCGAGATCATGCCTGTCATCCCTGCACTTGCCTGTCATCCCTGCAGGCACCCGTCATCCTGGCACATGCCTGTCATTCCGGCACACTGTGGGGTGGGAGAGGAGAGACGGGTACAAATGGCATGCTGGGGGAGGGAGAGATGGGCGCAATCTTGGCCATCTCCCCCCCACCCCAGCACAATCACAGCCATCTCCCCACTCAGGGTATGGTGGGGAGATGGCCGTGATTGTGCTGGTTGGGGGGGTGGGAATGGCTGAGATTGTGCATGCATGCCTTCCCTGCATGAAAGCAACTGTGATCACGGCCATCTCCCCACCCCCACACCCCGAGTGGGGAGATGGCCACAATTGCAGTTCCGTTTGTGCAGGGAAGACGTGCGTGATCACGGGCACACTGCTGCAGGAAAGATGGGTGCAGCGCAGCACAGCACAGCTGCGGGGGAGATCGCTACCCAATGCGGAGTTTGCAACCCGCATCAAAATTTTAATGAAAATTTTGTTCGTGACCCGATTTGTTCGTGAACCTAGGCGTTTGTGAGCTGAGGTACCACTGTAGTATAAGTGCAAATGATGATCAGTTAAAGGGCTTACCCATGTTATGAACAGAAACTATGCTAGCAATTGTTCAAAGTTATAAACATTCATAGGTGTGTATGATTTTAAGAAGAAGAGAACATCCTTTTTGTCTTGTACATGAAATCAAAACCAAATTATCAATAAAATGTCATGAAAATCCATAATATTACAATGTCTGAAACAACAGGAGAATATAAAATATAAGGGAGTCCAGTTGCAAACTAGAAAAGGTCTGAGTAAATGTTCTTAGCGCTAAGGATGGATGTCCTTTTCCTTGTCATTCTAAGGCTATGAAGAAATTCATTATTAATTGTATTGTAAATATCTACCTCTCGCCTTAAGACAAGCACTCTTAGTGTGGCTTACATAAATATAATGAAAATGGTTAAAATACAATTAAAATTGAATGATATAAAACACTGCAATAATAACAAGGTCAAGCAGAACCACAGAGCAGATTCCATTCCAAATCTAAATAGAAGATTTTACCTATTACCTGAAAGGGAGCATCATGTATGTTCCTTTGTTGAATTCCATATGGAAGGTAGAATTTCTGTTTCAGAAAAAGCCTGATTGTTCATACCCACCTGTCTAATTTAAGATGACAGCCCCACTTGTCTTCTAAGACCACCATTCCAGGGTTTTCCTATGAATCTCCCCTTATATTCATTTAATACATGTTGGGAAAGCAGGATTTTAGGCTGTGGCCAAACCTCTTCGCTTTACTGATGCATGTACTAGCAGTTCAGTTTAGTGTCATAGGTGCCCTACATGGTTACAACTTCTTTCCAAGCAATGCTAGAAGCATGGTTTCTGGTGGTTCTGGTCAGTGTGTGCATTGGCACTGGGGACCTGTCCAGTTGATTTGGTCCTGCTCTCCCCTGCTTTCCTTTAATGAATGAATGAAGTGGTTTAAAAGTGTAAACACTTTTAAAGTAGAATCTGACTGAGTGGCCTCAGAGTGTTGCTAAATACAATTTAGCAGATAGGGAATCAAAACTGGTTTACTTTCTTAATTCAAAAGTGTTTCCAATGGTTACTTGCTCAGAATCTTTTCTTAATCTATTCAATGCATTCGTAATTACATTGCCAGGTTTGTTTCAAATCATCTTGTATTTGTTGTAGTCATTGGAGCCTCATTAGATAGCAAGGGCTGGATGCATTTTGGCTCTGTGGTAGAGTCATGATACGCTCCCATGAATTTTCCTTTGTATCTTGTATCTGGTGAGAATGGCACAAAAGTCTATTTTTTTCAATGAATGTGTTCTATTTTCATCTTCTTTCCTTTATCCTTCTATTTCTGTCTCTTTTTCTGTTTTCTTTGTCTGCTAGATTGCTTGCCAATAAAATGTAGCTCCAGCTTTCAAATGTAGACTGGCAGAAACTTACCTATAAGTGCAAGTTATTTTTGAAGCATAACTGGGAAGCCCAAAGCTTCTTATAGATAACCATTATGGCACTGTTAATGAGAAATATATGTTAAATCTATACAGAGAGATATATGCCACATCTAGAAGCAGGCTTGAATGTACTGTAAGGAGAGTATTGGAAATATTTCAGTAAATGCCTTTGGATGTTTGTAAAGGAGGGCTTTTTTAACAGGTTGCTTTAACACTTATTGTTAGCATTTTAAAATTATTATCTTTCCATTATAAAGAATTAACTTGAGAAATCTGTGTGAAATGTCTTTCACACTATAACTGATATTCTTGTACCTTTCCCTTGTGTCTTTTAGAGGGTCATTTTCAACATTGTCAACTTCAGTAAAACAAAAAGTCTCTACCGGGATGGAATGGCCCCAATGGTAAAATCTACAAGCAGGCCTAAATGGTAAGAGAAGATGTTTGTAGAGAAATTGCATGTTGGAACGACTATTCTGCATTTGATTAGACTTGAATAATCTTTGCTCTCTTTGCACGTACTTCAGTTGTTTTTCTGTTTGCCCTTTTATAACATAGATTTTAGCTTAAACTTGTGAGTGACACTATATGTCTGTAGTGGAGTCTAGAATGAGGAGAGCTTTCCCTCAGCAATTTTACATAGGATCCTACTGCATATTCAACTCAGGTAGATGCTTATCTAATAAAGGTTGGTGCAAACTTGCTCTGACTGACTGTCTCTCTGACCGTACATGCACGGGGACAGTTTTCCTGGTAAGTTTGGTACAACAGTTTGGCGAACACAGAGTTCTGTTTTAGACATGTCATAATAAGATAGAACAGATACATAAAATCAAATTGCTTGTATGCTTGGTTTTAGTTTACTTTTTGCAACCTTTGGAAAATATAAACATTTCAGTTTTGCTATTGAAACTTCAGAACTGAATTTGAATTTCAGTTATGATACACGACTATGCAGACCTCAATGCTTACTGAAGGATCAGGCCTTTCCCAGTACCAGTAACACAAAGAAACTTTTGCAAAGAGGTGTAAGTTTAAGCTCCCCATAGAACTGAGTGGAGAACCTTCCTAACTATTTCTAATAGAAAAGAAAGAAAGTTCTTTGGACACATGAAATGGAAGATGGTGAGCCATTGACAAAGTACCTGAAATAACAACCTGCATTCCTTCCGATGACCTGGAAAGAATTAAATAGAATTCATTTGTTGATTTAATTTCTATACTACCCAATATGCGAAGTTCTCTGGGTGGTAAACAGCATTTAATTAGTAGAATAGAACACACTGTACAGTAAAACAATAAAGCATCATTAAATTACATTTGGAACATTTAACTGGTTGACAACTAAAGCCAGTCTATACTTTTAGGCCACCTAAAAGCAGCCAGCAATAACCCTCATCCCCATGTGCTACTCGGACAAACTTAACGTGGCACCGAAAAGATAGTGAAGTTGGTACCACGCAGGCCTTGATAGGGAGATTCTTCCATAATTTGGAGGTTCTCACAGAGAAGGCTCTCCTCCTAGTTACCACCAGCTGAGCCTTCCTTGAAGGAAGCATTTAGAGGAAGCCCGCAGATGTTGAGTGTAGGGTCCAGGTACACTGCAGTTAGAAGAAGTATTCTGTCATATGGCAACAATGTAGCTGGGATCTAAGAATCTAACCAAAAAACAAATAAGCAGGCAAACTATATATATATATATATATATATATATATATATATATATATATATATTGCAATAAACCTATTGATAACAGAAACCTTTTTAAATCAAACTACATTATATTTTTTTACTTATTATTATTATTATTATTATTATTATTATTATTATTATAGCATTTCTATGCCGCCCCTTGCCGAAACCTCGGGGCAGCTTACAACACGATAAAATACAATGAAATACAATGGCACATAATAAATTACCATTAAATATAACAATACAAAAAATACATTGATTTACAAATACAAAATTAAAATTATCAGTATAAAATAAAAATATAGGAGGAGAAAGAGAAGGAAGAAGAAGTTGCCCAGGCCAGATCATATGTTTTAACAATTGAAATGATGTTTAAATAAAAAGGTCTTTACCTGGCGCCGAAAAACCAGTAACGACGGTGCCAGGCGGACCTCTTTGGGGAGTGAATTCCATAGGTTGGGCGCCACCGCAGAGAAAGCCCTCCTCCGGGTACTTACTCTCCTAATTTCTTTCATGGAGGGTTCCCGGAGAAGGGACTCTCCCGCAGATCTCAAAGGGCGGTCGGGCATATACGGACGTAAGCGCTCGTTCAGGTAGCCAGGACTCAAGCCGTTTAGGGCTTTATAGGTCATAATTAACACCTTGAATTGGGCCCGGGCTTCAATGGGAAGCCAGTGAAGCTGACGGAGGACTGGAGTCATGTGAGCATAACGCCCCGTCCCCGTCAGCAACCTGGCAGCTCTATTTTGCACCAATTGAAGTGTTCGGACTGTCTTCAGGGGAAGCCCCACGTAAAGCGCGTTACAGAAGTCTAGGCGGGAAGTCACCAGCGCGTGTGTCACCGTCGCCAGGCAGTCGTATTCCAGGTAGGGGCGCAGCTGATTAATCAGCCGAAGCTGAAGGAAGGCGTTCCTCGCTACCGCTGTCACCTGAGCTTCCAAAGAAAGCTCCGGGTCGAGGAGTACGCCTAAGCTGCGGACCTTATCCCTAAGAGGGAGTGTTGCACCATTCAGGACCAGGTCAAATCCACCCTCTCCGAAACCCGATCCGCCAACCAACAGGACCTCCGTCTTGTCTGGGTTGAGTTTCAGTTTATTGGCCCTCATCCATTCCCTTACCTCGGCCAAGCACCGGTTCAGCACAGCCACTGCCTCATCTGGGTTAGTGGAGAATGAGAGGTAAAGCTGGGTATCATCAGCGTATTGATGATTCCGCAGCCCACACCTCCTGATGACCTCTCCCAGCGGTTTCATATAGATGTTAAATAGCAGAGGGGATAGAATGGAGCCCTGTGGTACCCCATGGCATAGCTGCCATGACGTAGAGACATGGTCCCCCAGCACTACCTTCTGGAATCGACCGTCGAGATAGGAGCGGAACCACTGCAAAGCAGTGCCTCCAACCCCCAATCCCGCAAGTCTATCCAGAAGGATACCATGGTCGATGGTATCGAAAGCCGCCGAGAGGTCCAGGAGAACCAACAGGGATGTACTCCCCCTGTCCTTCTCCCTGCACAGGTCGTCGTACAGGGCGACCAAGGCAGATTCAGTACTGTACCCGGGTCTGAAGCCGGACTGAAAAGGATCCAGATAACCAGTTTCCTCCAAGAGTGCTTGGAGTTGTCCCGCCACCACTCGCTCCAGCACCTTGCCCAGAAACGGGATGTTGGCCACAGGTCTATAGTTAGTGGCCATCTCTGGATCCAGTGACGCTTTCTTCAGGACCGGTCGTATTACCGCCTCCTTTAAAGGGGCAGGCACTCGACCCTCCCTCAGAGAAGCGTTAACCACTTCCAAAATCCAGGTCCCAATCCCGTGCTTGGAGTTATTTATTAACCAAGACGGGCAAGGATCCAATAGGCAAGTGGTGGGACGTACTCTTCCAAGCACCTTGTCCACATCATTGGGCCGCAATAATTGAAATTCCTCCAGTAATTTTGGACCAGACGGTGGCATTGGCGACTCCTCAGAGACCTCTGATTCATTAGTGGAGTCCAGCTCGTGACGAATCTGAGCGATTTTCTCCCTGAAATGCCTGGCAAAGTCGTCACAGCGGGCCTTTGAGGGTGGCATCGGATCTTCCTTAGGACCCAGGCGAACCAGGCCTTGCACCACTCGAAAAAGCTCCGCCGGACGGCATTGTGAGGAGGCAATGGAAGCAGAAAAAAACTTCTTTTTCGCCGCCTTCACCGCCACAGCATAGGCCCGATAGTGGGCTCTCAAGTGTGTTCGGTCAGATTCATCCCGTGATTTCCTCCACCTACGCTCTAGCCGTCTCCCAACTCGCTTCATCGCCCGTAATTCAGGTGTATACCAAGGGGAAGAGCGGACTCTGCCCGGTGGGAGAGGACGCTTAGGAGCGATCGCGTCCACAGCCCTGGTCATCTCTCCGTTCCACAGTTCGACCAGAGCCTTGACAGGAGCACCAGTCTTGTCAGCCGGAAACTCCCCCAGGGCCCCCAGGAATCCATCAGGATCCATCCGGCTCCGGGGGCGGGCCCATACAATCGGGTCCGCACTCTTATAGAGGGAGAGGCCGCTCTCGAGCACAAACCTCACCAGGAGGTGATCTGACCATGACAGGGGAGTCAAACATAAGTTCTTCACCCTCAGGTCATCCTCTACCTGCCCCGTCGTGAATACCAGGTCCAGAGTGTGTCCACGTTCATGGGTAGGGCCAGTGACGTGTTGAGACAGGCCCATGGCCGTCATAGAGGCCATGAAGTCCTGAGCCGCCCCGGTCAGTCCAGACTCGGCATGGAGATTGAAGTCCCCCAGGACCAACATCCTGGGGGTCCTCAGCACCAGGTCCGAGACGGTCTCTGTCAGCTCAGATAGGGAGACTGCTGGGCAGAAAGGTGCACGGTACACCAATAGAATCCCCAATCTGTCTCGTTCGCCCAACACCAAGTAGAGGCACTCCAGCCCTGGTCTCAAAGGGACCGGAAGACCCGTGAGAGAGATGGAGGCTCTGTAAACCAACGCGACTCCCCCTCCCCTCCCTTCTGGGCGTGAACAGTGTTGAACCAGATACCCGGGCGGGCACAACTGGGAGAGGGCAACATCCCCTCCCTCTCCCGCCCAGGTCTCCGTTATGCAAGCCAGGTCGGCCCCCTCATCCACAATCAAGTCATGGATGAGGGAAGATTTATTATTGACCGACCTGGCATTGAGCAGCAGCACCGTCAGACCCGAGGGGTGGTTGACAAGGCTACCTGGCGCCCTCTGGTTGGGGGCAGGATCAGAAGGAGGGACAGGTGTCAGCCATCTGTCCATCCTTCTTCTACGTGGACACGTTAAGCCCCTGTTGTTGTAACGACCATTGCCCGTGACCACGCCAATAGCAGCCCCCGTGGGTTCCCCAGGATATATAAACGGCGACATGGTCAGGAATAACTCAAAGCACTAATTAAAGCAGGGTAAGATTATAAAGTAGGTCGGAGGAGGAGAAAAAAGAACGATAAAAAGAAAAAAAAAAAAGAAAAAGGGGATCCTTCCTCTTCCTGAGAATCAGCAGGGAAGCTGATTACTTAGCATTTGTAAAAAAAAACAAAACAAAATCACATGAGCAGTTACACAGCATTAGTATATCGGAGAAGCAGTATAACCTACACTTTGTTTGCATATCACGCGAAGTTTAAAACATTTTCTTGCACTGTTTTTGCAGTTGGTAATAGGATCAAACAATAGATTACAAAGTTTTTCACTGTCTACACATAGGACTTATTGTACTTT